CACGAGCGAAAACATTTTGGGCGTGACGACCGTTTGCTTTACTAACTTGCTTGTTTGCTTATTTTTGATGACACACACCTGGTTTCCTGCCCGCCATCTGTCAGGAATTGAGCTGTAGTAGGAAGAATCTTCTCAGTGACATCTTTGGCTCCACTCATCAATCGACTTGGTCCCATGCGGTCTGCGAGCATGCTAAGGAACTGGGCAGTAGTCTTACGTACGGTAACATTGCGATGACTGAAAAAAATTAAATAAAAAGTGTTAGAACGTCACTTATCGATACTTCACACTGTTAACTACGATCGACAAAATCCATCTTTAGGGACACGTAAGAAAGGTATTCTCAAAAAACACAACATCAAGTGAAGACATCAAGTGAAAAGATCAAGTGAAATAAAAAACCGCTCAAGAACTGTTCAGAAACGTTTCCAAATAAATACCTGGCTCCACCTGATATAAGTGCGACCATCAAACGGGTTGGGGTAAGACAAGAAACCATGGCTGTCAAGGCTTTTTCCACGTCTTCTCTAATAAAGCCACTCGGTTCGCTAGCTTTAGCCAGTAAAATTTTAGCAGTGACTTCCAGTTCCTACATAGTAACAACAAAGCATGAGCGCAATTGTAAAACATTCCACCCTGGTTGGTAAAAAGAGAGAGGGAAAAAGAGAAAGGTTTACTCACATTATCCATATTCTTTCCAAGAATGGCGTACATGTCTCCAAGACAGCAAATGCCCGAACGAGAAACTTGAGATCCAAGATTCTTAACCTTTAAAAATTCAAACCAAATTAAAAAAAAGACCTTTTTATTCTACTGCTCTTGGTTGGGCCACAACAATATAATGACATTTCACCATATTGCGTCCATGAAACGAGACAGCACAAATAAAAAGATAAACAACGTGTGGAAAGTCCCACTGCATGCATGTAACTGTCACCGCTTACCTCTGCTATGATAGCGAGAGTCACTGTGTGTAGCTGTGAAACCAGCACTTCAGGATGATGTTTTGTAAGACAACGAATTCCTTGAATTCCTTCACACTTCTTCTCCCTGATGTGAGCAAAAATAAAACAAATGTTATTCTTAAACTATTTAATCGAAAAATTCAGGCAGCATCAACACGGTAGCAATCTGTCACTTGGGATACCCACCAATCTTCTGTGTTTGCTAGACACTTAAATGCATCTCGCAGAGCATTGTCTGGATTGCTGAAGGGCTGCAGATCGTCCAAACTGACTTCCCAGCACTGTGCTGCAGT